AGTCGATGGTCGGCGGCCGGCGCCGTCACAATATTGTCATTCCGTTGTCAGCGTTCGGCGGCGGCGCCCGGGCGCCGTCCCGGAGCGACCCTCGGCGCGCCCCTGTCCGCCGCCCTCTGTTCTCCCCTCATTTAAATGCCGTATCCATCAGTATCAATTATGGTAGCCGGGGGTGCTCGGACCACACGGGCCGTTCTCGCCTGGACGGGCCCCGGTTAACAAGGGTACAAACGACCGGGCAGATTCCAGCCCTGTTCAATTAGGGCGCGATACAATCGGTGCGCGCGCGCCGGGGGCCGCCGGGCCGCTCCGCAGGTGAACCAACACCGGCCCTCGCCGGCGCCGCTCCCTAATTGATAATTGTAATGAGTGGCTCGGGTGCTCTAATGGCCGGGCGCTGCCGCGGCGGTCGGCCGTCGTAACGACTGCGGCGGCCTTGCGGCGCGGCCGGCGACACGGGACGCTACTCGCGCCGTGTCTCCGGCGATCGGGGCCACTAAATCAAAGCCGCCTCCGGTGGCTGTCAGGCCGGCCGAGTGCCGGGATTTGTCACCATCGGAGAGCGGAGGGCGGCGGTCACAGCCGGGCCGGACGCGCTCACAATGGGCAATCAGTCGGAGCTGTTGGGACGATCGGTCCGAGGAGCGATCCGTATTGGACAGCCACTGGACCGACAAATTGGACGGAGCGGCCGGGCCGAGCGTCTGGACACTGGACAGTCACTGGGGTCAGACAGATTGGACACTGGACAGCCACTGGGCCGACTGTTGGACACAGGACAGTGGACGACAAATTGGACAGAGCAGCCGGGGAAGACCGACCAGAAGTTGGTCAGTCACTGGGGCCGAGCATATTGAACAATGGCCAGCGACTGAAACGGCAGTCTAGACAGGACAGCTAGGAGAGATTGACAGATAAGTATACAAAGCATCACGATAGTTTGATAGCACGTCTCAAATAAGGTAGGTAAAGGAATGTTGCTATCCTAATGAATGAATGAGTAAAGTTATTTCGTGATAGTGGTTATGCTATTTTCTATGACCATTGACCAGGAACCATCTGCCTGACACCCATGTCGTCCTTCCCAGTCGGCCATTAGAGCACGGATTCTGTGCAGGTCAGCCGGATCACAGCGGTGCAGGACTCCGGTAAGGGTCTCCCGCCGTCCGCCCGTCTGCCACCCCTCACCGACTCCGGTACCAACGAGCCGTCGCTGGCGACCCGGGCCGACACTTTGCGGAAGTCGGTCCGTTTCGTCGAACTGGGGCCCCGGTCTCCGGCCGGCCTCTATAGCCGCTGGGCGTTCTTCCGGGGTCGATTTTCAGAGTTGTCGGCAGCGACTCGGCCGATCGTCGCCGGCCGCGGAACAATCGCCCGGCTCAGCTCTGGGAAGTCGGCGCTGTAACCCCCCATCCACCCAGCTCGCTCTGCAGTGTGCAGGAGCTCGGGATTGGCTCCATTTTGTCTGTCCACCGGTCGCGGTCATCTCCGATGACATTTTGTCGCAACTTGAGTCACCCCGACTGTCATGCCGATGCGAGCCTCTCTGGTGATACGATCTCGGCCGTCCACAGCCAATGCAGCGCCGCAGCCGGTGCCGCGGAGTGAAGGAGCGGCCGCTCCCCCCTCACTACCCCCCCCCCCCGGCCACTATACACCCACGGCTCTGACTGGAGCTGAGCTGAGCTGAGCTGAAGGGAGCTCGAAGGACAGATCTGTCATCGCTGATCGCCAGAGCGCCGGTCGGATCTCACGCGCCGCACGTCTGACTTCGGGCGCTCTCCCCCACTCATCCGCTGACCCGTGGGTGAGTGAGTGGATTTCCCGCCCCCGGCCGCCTTCCTCCCACCCCTTCCCACGAACCCGCCAACCTGGCCCATCCAGCCACTGTCCGGTGTCCACTGTTCAGTGTTCAGTGCAGTGCCTCAGTAGGTGCACCTGCCATCCTATTCCACCGACTTTTATCCGGTACCCGTTGTTCCCGTTCCACCGAACCAGCTGTTCGCTATACTCGGTTCCCGCTGTCTGCTGCCCAGTGCCGACTACTCAGTGCCGCCTCTCAGTACATCCTGCTGAGCACCCGCTGCCGAGTAGATATCCGCTGCCCGCTGCAGCGTACTCGCCGCTCTGTGCCCGCCGCTCAGTACCCGCTGCCCGCCGCTCAGTACCCGCTGCCCGCTGCAGCGTACTCGCCGCTCTGTACCCGCCGCTCAGTACCCGCTGCCCGCTGGCGCTGCCCGCTGCTCCGTGCCGGCGGTCCACCGCCAGGTAATTGCGATGCATGTGGCAGCGTCGTAAATCAATCACTGCATAGTGCAATGAGGTATGATGTCAATACAGCGCCCGTTAGGCGGGCCCGGACCGGAGCCGGCCGGCTCGCCTGCGCCCATATCAATCGCCGCCGGTGAGCTGCCTGTGACCGTGAGCGGAGGCACAACACAAACAGCTGCGGACGCACGGCGGCGGGGTGCGGCCGTACCTACTGATACAGGGCCACCGCTACTGGGGCAGAGCGTCAACGGGCCAGCTTATCTGTCAAATTGTGACAGCTCCGTCTAACAATTTCGGGGAGCGAGTTGACGAAATTAAGAGCATATGTTTAAGAAATAAGTACAAACTTAAACGCTTGATCATCACTGGACATACATTAGATTGATCGTGCGTTCAATATTACTGATGAAGCGGCTATTCCTTAAACTGCCTTGGTAGTTAAAGCCTTAAGCTTTGTTTTACAAAACTTGCCAGTTTCCGACGAACTGCTGCCAGCACTGACACAATCCTGCAGCAGATATCTGGGCTCATCGCTCAGCCCATGGACGTACCGGTACCGAGGGTCAGTCCGCCCGAGTCGCTGAAAACGGACTCCGTGCAGCGGCCGCAGACCGTCTCACGTGTGAGCCGCGTCGGGCCCGACGGACGTGGCTCCTCGGCTCGGCGGGTCCCTGCCGAGTCGGGACGGCACGGGAGCGGGCCGGGCTGAGGGCCGACCGGCCGCTGAGAGCTGCTCATCCGCCACCCACCCATCGGTCACGCCGCCCACCGGCCGACCGCCGACGACCGCCGCATTTGGCCCTATAAGTGGCCTCTCGCGGAAATGCGGCGACCCTAATGGACGGACACGGGCTGACCTAATGGACCGACACGGGCCGGCCGACCGGCAAAGTCCAGTTTGGACCCTCTCACCGCCGCGCCGGCTCACATAGATCGGGTGTCACATTTGCATGACCGAGTGGCGGTCAGAAACCCAACTTCTGTTCACTTACGGCCAGACAGAGATTGCATATAGCCACGACAGTGTCGAGTGTCCCAGTCAAATTGCTCAAGATTCCATGTCGTGTAAACGCATTACGGATAACGTAGTAACACCGGTTTGCGGGCGGAATGCATTACCACTTTAAGGTCATGCGAGATTTTCCGCGAAATCGTATGAGAGAAAGAAGGTATTCGTAAATGCACTTCTCTCATTCGTGGTGCTAAAAGAAATTAATGAAGGCTAGAGATGTGTCGGCTAGTCACACACACATTAGAGGATTTATGCACCACAAATAAATGTAGCCACTCCATCGAGTGGATTTGGAATCTTTTTTCCATAAATACTTCTTAAGGGTCTGAGACTACCTGTGCGGGTGGGTTGCGGTCTTCAACATTAAAACTGCATTATCACACGTTGCTGTAAAATACGTTATCTGCACACATCTACCTCTTTTCCATGCTAGTGCACCAGACGGTAAACGTCCTTTAACATTACATACAGCCCGCTGAGAAGCGAAGACATCATGCGTAAGTCGACTTTTTCATCCATACAGCACCTGTATTTAATACAACAAAATGTGAAACGTTGCCCGGTAAGTAGGTGTCACGATACCAAGTGCCACAATTTCTATTCAAGAACATTTCTTGCCAAACTGTTTGTCTACATAATCCCTTTGTTTAAGACCGCACCGTTGTCTGATAACTATACCTTGTAAGAGTGTGTCACTTCACACTTGTCAGGAGTGCTCGATCCCCGACTCCATCACTGTTTCATCCGTCAATAATCGAGGACTCATGGGGTAAGCCTGTTTTGGCCCCATATTGACTCAGGACGTGATTCAAAGCCAAGTCTCCGTTATGAGTTTCTGCCTGCTGTACATGACTCTCACAAGGCGGACGTGAGTCATCTGTGACTCAGAGAGTTCCGGCTCAGGGCTGGTTAGTGGTTGGCGGCCATTTAAAGGTGAGCTGAGAGAATAATCAATTATCCAGAGAGTTTCATTCATTAAGCTCGGAAACACGCTTCCATCTTCGGTGTATTTCCGTATGCTGAAGGAGCAAAGGTCTTTGAATGCGTGCGTAGGTATAGCTGAGGAGTCGGGACCTGCAAACGGCTGGCACAATTGACAGTTCCCCACTGGCGGCCGATGGCTGGGAGGGTGGCCGCAGCGCATCATTTGTTCTGATGCGGCAGCGCGCGCTGACCTCGGCCTTGGCTGGGCTGGGCGCGGCGGACAGCGGTGCTCGCGCTGGGGTGGACACGGCGGACAGCGGACACGCGGGCCGGTTGCGACACGAGGCCTGTCCGGCTGCCGGTGACCGATGACCGGGCGCGCCGCCTTTGACCGTCGCCTCGTGTCGGCTTAGTGGCGGCCCGAGAGCGGCCGCCGCGCCGGCCGCCGGCTGTCGCCCCTGTCGAAACAGCTCGGCTTAGCCGCGCCAGGAATGCCGACCTGTCCGGCCATGCCGAGACGGTCGACAGTGATTTCGCGAATTAGCCTCCAAACGATCGTCGAGCCGAATTCTCGGGATTTGTGCACGTCAAACGCACAGGCGGCGCGATTGAGAAAAAGATAGACAACAATAGCCGTGCCGGCCGATCGCGGCTTCGCTTGATCATTGGAAGCCGGCAGTTAGAAGGCTTGTGCTGACATTGCTTAATGAATTATGATGTATGCGATATTGTGTGATTACGAGCGGAGTGCCTGACCGGATGGCCTGACTGATCCCTTCCCTTTCGCTTTCAGCGCGGCAAGGAGAAGCTGAACACGCTGGCGATCTCGGTGATGAACCAGTGGCCCGGTGTGCGGCTGCGGGTCACAGAGGGCTGGGACGAGAGCGGCCTGCACGCGCCCAACTCGCTGCACTACGAGGGCCGCGCCGTCGACATCACCACGTCGGACCGCGACCGCAGCAAGTACGGCATGCTGGCGCGGCTCGCCGTCGAGGTCGGCTTCGACTGGGTCTACTTCGAGTCGCGCTCGCACATTCACTGCTCAGTCAAGTCAGGTATGCATTGTCACCGTGTTATCCTACACTGTATCAGTGACATACCGGCACTGATCCCTGGCCGATCCCATTGGGGCGGGTTAGGGCCGGTTTCATCATACCCCTTTTGTCCGGGCGCCGGCGACGCGCCCTCCCGAACCCTGTCCCCATTGTGGGCAGGATCCTCAGCCGGCCACAAAGGGGCCAGCACGACCCCATTTTACCGTCAGCTATAATGCCTCTCACAAATCGCCGGTGGCAGGAGGGTGCCTCTGCGGGCTGACTGCTGTCCAAACGTGTCGTCCAGAGCGGCGACACCGGCCGCACTCTGCCATTGAGCCGCGGGCGCCATTGAGAGCGGTGCCCGGTCGGTTTCCGCAGCGATTTCTCGGCAGTCGAGCGTGACAGTCGCGGCCGCGGCCGGGCCGTGTCTTCGCCGTGTCGGTCGGCTTTGAAAGCAGCTCCTCTGGAGTGGGGCCGAGCGGCCGGCCGGGCGGGCCCAGTCAGCCGTCAGGAGGAGCCCCGAGTCGCGACAGGTGGGCCGGGAGGATTTATCCGGGCCCGCTTTGTGGCCTGTTGTGCGCGCCACAAAGTCGACCACAATGCGCCGCGGCGGCGGCCCACCTGTGGAACATAAACACGGCCCACCCGAGCGGCGCTCACAATCGACACAAATTGGCCGGCCGCCCGGCGCGCCTCCCGACACCAACCCTCTCATTACCTCGTTGCTGATTGATTTAAATTGCCCCGGCGGTCTTGCATTCCCCGCCGGTGGTGAGCCACTTTTAATTTGCCGACTGACGGAGGTCAAGGCTGGCGGTGGTGGTGCGAGGAGGCGGCGGGGAGCGCCGTCTGGTCGCTGCGGTGCCGTGCAGCGCTGTCGGGCCGGCCGGCCGCCCGGTCCGACCGCCCGCGCCGCCTTCCCTCGCACCCCACAGCGCTCAGCGCTGTAATTTCTCGGCGCCGCAGATAATCAAATGCGCCGTTCTCCCGGGTCATTTGTTATGCGCTCAAAAGTCGGAGTAATGAGATATTGTCGGCGGTGTCCACGTTCCTGGGCGGCCGGCAGTGGCGCGGCGGCCTCCCCCGGCCGCCGCGCCGGTGGACTCGTCTGCGCCGCTGCCGGCTGATGGCGGTCCGCTGCCGAGCGCCGCTGCTCGCTCCGGGCGATCGTCCGCAGAGAGCCAGAGACGGCCGGTTAGCGCGCCGCTGATGGCCGCACTCCACTAACGCCGCAGCACGCTTTAATCCGCCAATAATGAGCGGTGCGCCGGCGCCGGCCGCGCTGCAGGCATGGCCGTTTTATTCGGCCCTTCATCAGCCCAGCATCGATGCGGCCTCTCTGCGACGAACAAAGACGGCACGGGGACCCTGCGCCGCCGCCTCCGAGCCTCGCCGAGAGGTGTCCGGTGGCCCAAAGGCTTCACACCTTGGGAGACGTCAGGGACACTGGACACCGTCAATAAACTCCGCTGACACGTTCCCGGGTAGCGTTGCATTGTGTAATGTTGTGCCTAAAAAAGTTTGAAATATTTTCTCATTTCGAATTTCTTACAGTTGTTATTTTCACAAGGTAGGACTTCTTTCTCAAGCAAAAAAAAGCAAATTTAATTTTATAGTACGCCGCTTGGCCTCGATTCGTAAACGTTTCGAGCGACAGGGGATTTATTCAGTACTATCAAATACTATAGCAAATTGCTAATCAGTAATCGTTGCGTCGTCTATGCTTTTCATTGATCAGTAACCTGCCCATAAGTACGAAAGTATCGTCGATTTTCAAAGATAATTTATTCGGCTAGCATTTTACCTTCTTGCAAGAAGAATCACTATAAAGCTTATCGGATGTACTTAACACTTATAAACGAGCCTTATCCATCGCTCAATCTCAAGCAGTAGCCTTTGTATGAAGATTGCGCCGTCGTTTTCGGAAGATAAAGCTCGGGTGTGAGCGTGCACCTGTAAGCGGCGCTGAGCTGGCTGCTGCCGCGGGCTGTCACCCCATCCGTCAGTGTGGGAACCGAACGGTTGCGACATTCATCGGAATGTGCGGCGGATCGTGGCGCAGCGGCGCCGGTGGCCGGCGCGGCGGCGGCGGCACATTCTCGGCGGCTGCCGGGCCGGCGCCGGCGTATCGGCAAATATTGACGCACCGTTTCCGGGCCGGCGGCGCTGCTCGGACCTGTGACGTCTCTCGCGTAGCCGGTGCACACGCCGCCGGCGCTCTCCGGACGCTCGGAGACGGACGTGGGATTCAATATACCCTGGACGTGGGCACTGGGAGCCACTCCAAACTGGGCACTAACTGAAGCTAAAGCTCACAGAACCTTTGGTTTCATCAAGGAGCCTAGAGACAACTTTTTAAAGTTCAGTACAGAGTTTCTGTGTCTCTATGCAGTGGCACATGGGTCTGTTCAACACCATCATAAGGTTTTTGGGACACCTTATCATTCTACATTCCTTCCACATGTCTGAGCATTTTTAACCCTATGTAATTGAGGTCGGATAAAAGATCATGTTGGGTTTCATCAATCCCACCTCTAGAAAATGTTAACCCTAACTACTCCGCCAGGAATATGGTTATGAAAGTTGGAACGATTGGCAACAATGAAAGGAGGCATGAAACGCATTTCTTAGATGTTCTACCCTGGATCGGCTAGCTATAGTGTCAGTCAGCCTATGTGACCTTATAAGCCAATGAGATAAAATTAAGTCCAACTTTCTGTCGTGCTCGATCTACTTCTCAATGGATCGGGTCACTGCCATGGTGCCAATTAATAACGTTTCAACCAAGCAGACAAAAAATGTCCGCAGTTGTGAGCTTTATGTGACATTTGCGCAAGCATGGAGCTTAAAAATTTGGGTTTATTTCCTTGGCCCATTGCATTCATCCGCCTTTCGTTCTTCGAAAGTAACGTACCTATATGTAATGTTTTTACAATATCCGTTGTTACTCAAGCACTATCGCATTCGAGTGACGGTGTCTGTTCGGAGTAAGTGCACCAGGGGCTTCGTTTTGTATAGGCCTGGGAGTGCCCGAGCACTACCAATGTTCAGCTGAGCACTACCAATGTGTTGTTGAGCACTACCAACATTTTTCTTCACTTATTGAGAAAATTGCATTCAAACATGTCTGTGTCTCTCTGTTTGGTCACATAGTTTGTATTCTAGCCTTGTCGCGTAGGGTCGGCGTCGGGTCATAAGTGGTCATAAATGGAGGTCTATGGCCACACATGTGCGCGGCAGCAGGGACACGCCGGCCCGTATATCGGGCGGCCCGGCTGGACATTGGGAGACGGGCGGGCAGTGGAGAGCAGGGCGGGAGAGAGAGAGGACGGGTCGGTGTGCGCGTTGAGATGTCTGAAGGGTGAAGAAATACAGTCTACGATAGACGCAAAGTTTGAATGCCACAAGCTATTTCGGCATTTTTCTGACAAGTGGTGAGAAGATGCCGAGTGTCGAGGAGGAGACCAGTGACACCGCGGGAAGAGCGGTGATGGAGGTGACTCCGGCGTTCGACGCCAGGACTATTCCGGAGTTCGACGGAACTGGAAACGTAGTGGAGTGGCTGGAGCAGGCTGCTCTCCTGTGCGAGCTGCGATCAGTGTCCCTGATGGCTGTGTTGCCGACTCGCCTGCGCGGCGGTGCTTTCGCGGTGTGGTCCCGAATGCCCGCAGCGACTCGTCATCAGCTGCCCAGCGTGAAGGCTAAGCTGCTGAGGGCCTTCGCCATGGACCCGTTCACAGCGCAGGCGGAAATGGCTCGGCGTCGCCTTCATCCCGGAGAGACGGCGGATGTGTACTTAGCGGCGCTGCAGCAGCTCGCTGAGTTGATGGGAGGTCTGCCGGAGAGAGCTATCGCCATCACCTTCGTCAATGGGCTGCCGGAGGCTGCGCAAGCTGCGGTTCGGGACGGGCTCGGAGACGAGTTCACTCTCGAGTACGTCCTGGACCGAGCGAGAGCCGTACTGTCCAGGACAGCAGTCACGGCAGCGCCACCGGCGGCGGCGGCAGCGGCGGCGGGGGCGGCGGCGGCGGCGGCGAGTGGGCCATCACGTGACATTTCAAGGTCAAGTCGCCGGCCGGCTCCGATCAGATGCTGGATATGTGGTCGCCCAGGTCATATCGCCCGGATGTGCCCAAACGGCTGCGGCGGGGGAGCTGCATCAGCGCCAGCACCTCCTCCGCCGTCCACCGAGCCGGCAGCAGAGCGCCGGTAATCCAGATGCTGCTCGACGGGCGACCGTGTCACGCGCTGGTGGACACGGGCTGCGAGGAGACCGTGGTGTTCGCGGGTTGTGTCGATAAATGGGATCGATGTGAGACAAACTTGACCGCGGTGAATGGGAGTGTCGTGCGATGCAGCGGGAGTGCAGAGGTGCTGCTGGAGGCACAAGGCCGGCGGGCGGTGGTCCGTGCTGTGGTAGTGGCGGAAAGGTCGTTGGGTGTTGACGTGCTGTTGGGCATGACCGGGTTAGAGGCGCTGGGTGGTGTGTTTGTTAGTGGTGGAGAGGTGCGTTTTGGTGGTAAAGTGGTGACGGGGGAGCGTTCGGGGTGCACCGGTGTAAAGGCAGAATCGAGCGGTATGTCGGCAGCGGTGTCTCAGGGGCGTGGTCCAGTGGACAGACAGATCGAGACGGCTGATTTTGTGGCTAAGTTCAGCGACGGAAAGTGGACAGTTTGGTGGAAGTGGGCCGACGGAAAGGAGCCAAAACAACTCAAGAATACTGTGCCGCAATATCGCGTGCCGGCAGAGTCGCAGGAGCGGTTCGACGCAGAGTTACGGCTGTGGATCGAGGAAGGGTGGCTGCAACCGTACAATGAGCAGGAACACGGGCCGGTGCGTGGCCTAATTCCGCTCATGGCGGTCACCCAGGAAGCCAAGGACAAGGTCAGGCCGGTGCTCGACTACCGTGAACTGAATGAGCACCTGGTGGCTCATACGGCTGAAGCTGATGTGTGCCGCGACCAGCTCCGCAAGTGGCGGCAACACGGCGACGATGTGGCCGTCATCGACCTGAAGAA